AAATAAATAAATGAAATAAAACGCGCTATTTCTCCGGTTAGTGACTCGTGTTTGTTTTGGTTGTATTTACCCAGAATGCCCTGCTCTGCAGTTCAGTTCCTGCTTCTGGAGCGGTCTCTGGTCTGCTTGATATTTACATTCGAACTACACCAGAGTTCACTTCAACCGAACCCAGACCTAGGTTTGTAGGTGGACTGAAGTTAGCTTTTTTTGGTTAGCATCATTGTTCGATTAAGCATTCAAACATATCCAAGCAAGCTGGACGTTTAAGACAAAGAAACTAGAGTTTAATTAAAGTGAATTAAACAGGGCTGGTGTGAATGCACACTGACATAAACACATTAACTGAGATAAACAATCTTTTGTTGCCCAGGCTGAGCTCTTTACTGTCTATATGCAGAGGGTTTTTTTTATATGAAGCTGAATTATCCATTGGTTCTCTTTCCGTGAAAGTTGAACGAAGAGTTTTGAAAACTATTAAAATCAATTTTCAGCTGCAATCTGACATGGCAATGTGTAAAAGGACTACTTGACTTGCAAGGCAACTTAGAGAGAAAGAGACAGATTATCACTGAATGACCGGTCGATACACAGGCCCAAGAAGTTGGACTAACTTGGTTAAACTTCAACTACATTGTTCAACCAAGATGTTTTTGTTTTTTTTAATTTCTGATAGTTAACAGTAGTTGCAAACATTGGTATGCCCGAAACATCCAACAGCTTACAGGTCTCCGGGTGACCTACCCAGAGGGCAGAACAGCTGTGACCCAAGGTTGACGACCGTTTCAACTGAGAGTCTTATTGTTAAGAGCGATAGTCTTAACTGAAATGTGGTTCAGCCAATCATATGTATTGCAATCATATTACACTCAGTTGTTCTTTGAAAGCCTCAGAGGTTCATTAACATTAGTGAGGAAAGTGTCAGAGAGGAAGCTGTAGAGTGGTTTAAAACTGAGTTTAATAATGAAACAATATATTTTTTTTTGGCCTACATGAAGCACAGTGACAGCACCGATAGGTGGAACGAGATACAGTGAAGCATTTCAGAAAGGATACATGGCATTATTACCATGCTGGGAAAATATGGGAAATTAGTTTGAACATTGTTACATCCTTTGGTTTCAGTAATGTTGACTCTACAGGTCTGTCTGTTACCTTTTTGAGCTGATCATTTGCTCTTAAATCCAGCTTTCATTCAACCACGTTTTGGTTCCCTGTGTGAGGAGGTCGCTAATAAAGGTCAGTGGGTCCTGATTGATACGCCAATGCACTAAGCAGAGCATTCTGGGATTTGTAATGCTGGCTGTGAATGTGCTATCTGCAGTTGTCTCGAGGGTCACACTAGGATAGGTAACCTACGGACCTGAGTTTGACACGTTTGTTAGCGGCTATAAGAGATTTGAGACTTGTGTCCGGTGCAGGTTCAACTTCCAGGACAACATCTCTCAACATCAGGATGTTCAAGGAATGGCTACAAAGTGATGTAGCCATTTTGGACATTTACTAAAAGAAACCTTTAAATAAATGCTGCAGCTAGCTTGAACCTGATGCTTCGTGTTTACTTTCAAAAACTCCATCCATTTGTTCCACCTGCATTGCTACGTCCAGGCCTGCTCCGGTGCTCAGGATCCCACAAACAGTTCTTTTTACTGCTTGAATGATAGATGATAATATTTCATCTTCCGTTTAAAGGATGTGTTTACTTGCTGCACCCGCCTGCGCTTACATCAATGCGCCCAGAAGCAGTGGAAGGGGTAAGAGCAGGGGAGGGATGCATTTTTGTGTTCGAAGAGCAATCAAAGAACACGTCTGCGGCGTATAATTTGGACCCATCACTTGGACCATCTCTGTGGACGCCATCAGATGGTCGTCGTCTCGGTGGATGGTGGAATTCATTGTGGAGACCACTTCAGGGCGTCTCTCAGAAGTGTGGGCACAAGACGAATGGCGTTCATCAATTTACGCCAGCTGCTCTCTAACCGCAGCAAATGAAAATGAATGGCAGAACGCTTCTTTGACATATGAAGACCTCTCATGGGGAGGGAAACGTCTGCGCGGCTCGAGCATCGAGAGGCACTTGGAGAGGGAAATAACTGCAATCTGTTCATGTGGAAACCTCTCCAAGCAGAGTTTGAGAAGAAGGAATAAGACAGCTAAAGCATTGTCTGCTTTCAGATAAATGATCATTCATGACTCCAGAAAAAGGCTTCAAATATGAATTAGAAGTACAGTTTTGTGTTCAAACATATCCCTAAGCAGTGAAAGCTTATTATGTAAAACTGATTTTTGTGACATCAAATCATGTTATAATGTTTCTCCCTTATTAAGAACAATACCTGGAGTGTTGCACTGATTCTTTCATGCATGTTTGAGAAGTCCTTGAATCTCCCATGGCAACCATTCGGGCATGCCTAAACGTTTGTTGTCACAAAGGTCCGCCTGTTTCCACAAAGCTCCTCCTAGGAGCTGCAGTATTTAGCGAAGCGCCTTCGTCACAGAGCGCTCCTCCCCCACTCAGCTCCTCCAGACAAGCAGCAGAAATGATCAAACACCTGGTGGAACTGTGCATCCACTGAACTCATCATACAAACTGATTCTCAATCCGACAGAGAACAACAGCATCACATGTTCCGATGATGTGCTGTGGAGTGCTGGAAAGTGTAGGAGCTTCTTAAAGATTCAGAATGCCAATTTGAAGGTGCTAAATTATGAAGTCAAATTTCTTTTAAGTCGTGTTTGAGATATACAGTATTTTTTTCATAACCAAAGGTAGCATCGTTACTTGATTATACTATAAAAGGCTCAGTCAATACTGCCCCTATTATTAATGCTAATATCTACTCTTACTAGTTCAGAGGTTTAATCACTTCAAGGGTTTTAATTCACTAAGAAAACATTTGCAGTATTCCTCTGTTTTACAGTGGTATTCATACATATTCAAACCCCTTAAACCTTCACATATTTTGCCATAGTACAACCACAAATTTTAATAAGTTTTATGCAGACTTAAAGTAGTGCATAATTGTGAAGTAAAAGGAAAATTATACATTGTAGAAAATTTTTTTTAATGTAGTCTGTTTCTACCATCCTTGTACATCCAAACAGTGAAATGTTTTCCCATATTTTAATGAATAGTTCAAACTCAGTGAGAGTTTGTGCAGATCAATGTTCAAGTCTTTAGTCCTCTATTTTATTCCCTCTATACTTTATACACTTTTACAGTTTAAAAATCATCTTTCTATTTCAGTGTTGTAGTAAAATCACTTTCGACATGGGTTAAATTATGTATGTATGTATGTATGTATGTATGTATCTATCTATCTATCTATCTATCTATCTATCTATCTATCTATCTATCTATCTATCTATCTGTCTGTCTGTACTCTGAACTCTTGAAACTGTTTATTAAACATATTTATTGGATTACGGTCTGGACTTTGACTGGGCCATTCCAACCCATGACTCTGTTTAGATCTGGATGCTTCACATTGTTGTCGTGCAGGAAGGTGAAGCCCCGCCCCGGTCTCAACTCCATCACGGCTTTTCTTCAACGATCCTCCCATGTTGAGCTGCATCCATCATCCCGCCCACCCTGACCAGCATTCCCATCCCAGCTGGTGTTGCTTTGCATTGTTCAAAACAATGGAGGTCGCAGTATTTGTACTTTAACATGTGAACTTGTGAATGCATTTACCAGCAGCGAGAATCATCTCATATTTCACCGATCGTTTTCTTGGCAGGACATGACCTCTGCTCTGCCGTTTTAATAGAATGATGATGAGATATTACATGCTTTGGAATTACATTATGAGGCCGTAGTTTTGATTCAGAAGAAATACCTTCACACCAATCAGTGTCATCGATTTCAACCAGTTACAGAACAAATTGTCAAAAGCAATGAGACGGGTTCTGTTTGGTACGCCTGTTCTCTGCTATGAATAATTCTCATGCGTTTTGCTCTAGATAGGAGGAAAATATCTTGTTTTAGCAAAGAAACAGAGTGGAAACCAACCACTGAATTTTACACTGTGGTGAGCAGAATGGGACTCATTTTCAGCCCTTGAGTTTCATGTCTCAGGCTGGTCCACTTTACGTAGCGACACATTATTAAAATGATGTAATTATAATTTTCTGTTTAACCTTGTAACTCAGTGTATTTTTCTAAACTACTTTCAATTCAGCACAGGTTAAAGTTTCCTCCTAATGTAGATTTATCTTTGCAACACATCCTTTTAATAACATCCTTTTTCAGATATCCAAATCCTATAAATGAAATGAGTAAATAAAAAAAAATAAATATCAAAATAAAAATAGATTAAATGTCACACTTCCTTATAACACGAGTCAATTTTGCTAATTTTGAACATCATACTAAACTGAGACATTGACTTTTGAAAATTGCCAAACACAAAAAGAAAGTATAGAACAATGTCACCCAATTGACGCAGGGTATAGCATGGCTTCCAAAATGAGCTGAAATTACATATAGTTTAGAATAATGTCAAAAATATGTTCAAGTGATGCATAACTTTGAGAATGAGTCCAAATGAGAAATTTGGGTAACACAATTGGCTAAACAAGCACCTTAGTTCTGCTAACACCAAACAGTTAAGCTAATGCTAGCCATTAACACGACTGTCTCTCAGTCCGTGTCACATCTTCTTCTCTTTTGTCTGGTGTGAGACTTGCAAAGAGCAAAGTCCTCAGTTTCTGATTTTGCTACGTTGTTACTTGACCAAAGTTGAAATGATATGGCTTAAACTTCATCCAATTAATAGAAATGAGTAACATTTTTGATAGGCATAAAAGACTCAAAAACAACAGCCATTTTGAAAAAATTTACATCCTGAAATTCCAGTGGCTGATGACAAAAACATATAATCTGAGGGGCGAGAACACACATATCTATGCTTGTATTATCACAGTAGTATGTTGTACTAAGTCAAAAAACAGATGTATGTGACAATTTTGGATAGAAATATTCACCACAAAGCTATCGGTCCAGTAAAGCAGCAGATATTCTTTTTATTAGAGCATCAAGTAGCACTACAATAACATAGTGTGGTCACAGGACAGAACAGTCAACCCTGTGTTACACAGGAGCTTTCACTAAACCTTCAGTTCTAGCTTACCTGTTCTCAAATTTCTCCTTCGTAAAAAGCTAGATGTAACATCTTTGAATGTTTGGATAAAGTGCGCCATAAGCCTCCCTCCCACTATCAGCACATTGCGATACATTGTGTTATTTTTCTGCACACTTTTCTTTAATGCTACCATGAATTCAGAGCATGCTGCTGCCCTTCACATTAAATATTACTGGGAAACTGACACAATATCATCACATGACACCACGTCAGGAAAGGGACATCACTGTCAGCACTGCAGAGGCTCGAGCACATGAACCACCTCCCACCCTCAGAGTGCTCGTCTCCTCTGGAAGTGGGAAAACACACCGGGAAACACACCACAGTACCATCCGACCACACTGAGCTCTGTGGTCAGTGTGTAACATCCATGTTACTCGACGATCATCTGGTTCAACAGATTATGGGCTTTCAGTCGCTTTGCTACCAACTTAAAGACTAGACAGCAGCACCATCAAATTTCCTCCGTTCTTTTTCAGTAAATATGCTTCAAAAACATCTACACTCACACATCTCACTTCACCTGATGAGAACAGGTCTAAACCTGCAGCTCAGGTGGGACAAAAAAATGGGGTTCGCTTTCCACCTTTATCCCTCACTGCGGATGGACAGCCAGCACAGAAGCTCACAGGCCCCAGTAAGGAGCGAGGGTCCTGCGGTCCCTCTCATAAACATCGGGTATGATCCCGTAGGGTGTCTGCACCATCTTAACAGAGTTCCTGCCGAACAGCTTCCTCTCGTATTCGATCAGCTGGCGCCAGAAGCCACCGTTGGGCCTGATGACGGGACGGCGGGCCTTGACCCAAGCGTGGGCCTCAGCCAGAGACACACGGTGGTACTTCATGAGGTACGCCAGGCACAACGAGGCCGAGCGGCTCACCCCAGCTGCGCAGTGCACCAGCACTGCCCCTCGTTTGCGCCCCACGCTGTGGATCTTGTCGGCCACGCTGTCGAAGTACAAGGAGATGGGGGAGTGGGGCATGTCTGCCAGGGGGACCTTCACATACTCCATATGCGGCCAGTTGAAGTTGGGCAACTCAATTGTGGCATTGACCACGCAGGTGATGCCCTTAGACAACAGCAGGCTGCGGTTGGACGCCACATTGCCTCTACTGAGGAAGAGGTTTGGGGTGATTTGGGCGATGCCCCCCAGCAGACTCCCGCTCTCCGGCAGCAGCCTTGGCACAGTGGCGGGTACCATGGAGCTGCGATGGTGGTGGTGGTGATGGTGGTTGTGGAAGAAGCTCTGGCTGCGGGAACCCATTGAGGAACCGGGCACAATTCAGGACGGGATGGAAAAGCTCTGAAGAAGGCAAAAACTTCAGGTTCTCAGGATCATAGCAGTGAGGGACCCACCAGACAGCTCCTGCAAGACATGAAAACTCAATTTTACTCTTCTTCAAAACTAAATATTTTTCTGTTTCACTGTAGACTCAGGCCCTGAAAACTGCACTGACAACAAGTTTTTCTTTCTTTCTGACTGCCTCAATAATACAGACCAATGTAAAACCAATTCTTTTCAGGAAAGATCATTGCAAAACATTTTCTGCTTTGCTTTTCTGTCGATACATCTTAAACGTCTTTCTTGGCAGAACTTCTTTGTACTGCTGCCAACGGGCCACATTGTATGGCAGTTATAATCATAAACAGATCAAAATTATATGTGGAGTTCCTCAAGGCTTCAATATAGTGACACGTATTTAACATTCAATCCTCACAAATATTTATGTCACCAAGTCTGTCCATAATACAACTGAAACTGAATATTTACAGGCCTGATAGGATGACAACCTTTTTTCACACAGTTTGGCCTTTAATCAGACTAAACCTGATCTGTTTTAAGTCCATTAAAATAACCAAAATAATTTATTTTTGCTTAATATCAGAATTATGAGAGACAGAATTTCCCATTCTACTCTTAAACATCACAAGGTTAAACACAAATCAAGCATGTCAGGAAGAGAATAGCCAAGAACTGTCAATTTCTCTAGTGAAATTAGACTCATTTCACTAAACTACTTTCATAAAAATAGTTTAGTTTCACTAAACTAGTGAAAATGTAACTATTTTCACTAGTTTACATTATCATAAGTATCTGTACAGGTTCATGTATGAAACACCAGAGGCAACTGAAAATATAGTAAAATATGTTGTTTTAGTAATATTTTCAATACATCTGTGTTTTATGTACTACTTTTTACCTTTTTTATTTCCCTGTGAGGTATTTAGAATTACTGAATATTTCCATTCGTGGAAACGTATAAAAAAAAACAAGGAAGAACAAAATTGCAACAGTCTGCAATAGCCACAAAACAAAGAGAAAGACATCCATGTTTAAGAGCACTATGCTGCAAACGAATCGTCCTGGAAATATTATCTTTTGTCTCTTTGAAGAAAAACTAAAACCTGAGAGTTCTTGCACAGATCAAATCAAACAGAGGCTGCTGTGAGGCCGACCAATAAAACCATACAAATATATTTTTAAAAGGTTTTCATGGATGCTTGGTGTTCATGTCTGGGACTGGAGGTCTAGCCTGTCTCTGCTCTTTCTGCATTCAGGTGGAACAGCCTCAGAGCCGCAGGCCGAGTGGCGCCTCCTGCCACGTGACTGGAGGAGCCTCACCTCATCTCATGTTCATCCATCCGTGGCTCCTGCGTACAAATTACACTTTGTCGTCATGGCGGCTGCTGATGTCAATGTACGTTTTTTTTTTTTTTTTCCTTAGTTCTTTAGAGCAAAAGTTGACGCCATTTGTAATTTATTTTCTCTAAAGGTGGCAGCTACTTACATGGCCAAGCAAGAGTTTTAACTAGGGATGCACCCACTTTCAATACAGATATTTGAGACTTTGTGTCGGTCATACAGAAAAACAGCTGAATTGACTTTAAATAATTATTTTTTTCTAAACACAGATATAAATGTACTGAATCACATGTTTATTTGACAACTCTGCACAGAACACTTAAATACACCAGTAGCTTCACAATCTTGGTCAAACATGTAAAAACAACAAAACTTTAACTTGTTCAATCAGTGCAGTTAGGAGTAAAACAGTCAAAGAAAAATAAATAAGAAACAGAAACAATAGGTCCACTATTTTGGTCAAACATGTAAAAAAATAAACTGTAAAAAACATTCTTCCAAATGGTTCAGAAAGAGCAATTAGGAATTCTAAATATAATGTAAAATAAATAATAAAGCACAAAAGCATAGAACTAGACGATATAGATCTGTCCTCATGTATTGTCCATATTGTTACTGATTCTTGATCTAGAATTTGTTTCAACATCAGGATTGATACAGATGTTAATGTGGGATTGGTGCATTTCTCGCTTTAATATGCAATAGATGGAAAATTCCTTCTGTATTAAAACTTATTAGCTGAGACATAAAAGCTGCAGGTTGAACTTTAGCCTCTTGGAAGTCACTATTTTATCATTTTCTTAAAGTTTCTTCACTAAATTCTTGTTACATTTTTTTTATTTCTTGATCAACAAGAAGACCAGTTGGGATAATAAACTGAACATAAGTAACAGAGTAACACTTCAGGAGTTGGCTAATATCAGAACACAGGCAGGTCAGAGCTTAATAAAGTTGGTGACCAGAAATCAGCCACAAATAAAGGTTTTGTTTTGACTCAGTTTTCTTTATCGGTTGTTCTTTTGAATTAAAAATGATAATAATAATAATCAGCCACTTACAGAGTCCAGGCAGACCTATGGTTAGTAGATAAATAAGATTCTGCTTCGTTTTCCAAAGATGTCATTCAAGGACTTTTTCATACACTTGGACTTAAACAGCAAAGTGGTAACAGCCATCATCTCCCTGAAGGCTGAACTTGTGTTGCTTCCTCTTCACCTTCTAGGAGTAAAAAAAAAAAACTTGAACTGATCACCTCTCTGCCATCCCAGCACAGTCTGCATTTATTTTCAGGAAGAAAAGCAGCTAGAATAACAGAATAACGTCTGCTCAGGCAGCCAACACCGAGAGTCCAGTCAGGGCTTTTCAGAGTGCTGCCCTGCAGGAAGATTCACTGCCATCGACAGGAATTAGTGATGAGGCAACAAAACCAGAGTTTCCAACAGTAAAGCAGACCAGCAGCACACAGAAACCGTTTGATTTTGAAATTTTATGTGGAAATCCGCTTCATTTAAATGCCGTTTTGCATGTGCATACCTTGTTTAGATGACTAAGAATTGTCAATTGTTTTTTTTCTATTAACTTTGTTTAAATCATAAGCTGATAAAAAGAAAATGATGCTCAAATTCAATCATAAGAAGTAAGATCTTTACAGTCATTATCACAAATCTGTTATTTAGAAAGAGCAAACAAACCCAATATTAAGTCATCAACAGTTTTACGGGCCAACCTAGGAACAGACACACTATTCTTTTCAGAGCTGCTCAAGACATAATCAAACCATCACTGGCAAATTTTACTGGTAGATTTAATTTGACATTTTTAGTATAGAAAAATTGACATTTTTAAGGGGCAGCATTACTTGTTTTCCAAGCACATTAAGAAGTTATGTTATCCTTGGTTGGCTGTCAATATGACAAAAGAAATTTGACTTTGTAATTTAACACCTTGAAATTGGGCCTCCATCTCTTTAAAAAGTCCTGCTCTTTCTGAAACTCCACCTTCAGGAAGTCATCACAACATGCCTTCTCTATATAACATATAGAAACATATTTAATAACGTTTTTATCAGCGTTGCACTGAGAAGTAGCTCATGTAATGAGGTCAGCAGATGTTCAGTTCCACCAGCTGTTTGCTAATTGCTGCTGGCTAGTCTGAAGGAGCTGGGAGGGAAAGTTGCGGAGGAGGGAGGCAGAAGCTCGGAAGCTTGGAACCTGCAGCTCTGAGGAGTTACAGCCAGCTGAATGGTTGCCATAGAGATGAAAGGATTTCTAAAACATGCATGAAAGTATCAAGGCAACAACCCAGGTATATTTCTGATGAGGGAATATCATTATAACCTGATGTAAAGCTAAAAGAATTTATATAATACAGCCATACTAACAATCTAACATGTTTCATTTTTCTTTGTGGCCTTTTATAACTTAATGAAAGTTTATAAGGCCAAGTGTTCAACTGGCCCCAACCATTACCTGAATCAAACAAAACTGGTGTTAAATGTTTATTCTACGTTTGTGAAGATTTTATAGCACAAACGCAGCACAGTTGATGGACAAAAAAATTGTTTGATTTAATAAAATGTTGGAGGGGCTGGTTGACCTTCTATGACCTCAGGAAACTTTTATTAACATCCTGAAAGACAAACATTTGACATTAATGTTTGATTTGAAGAAGGTCGGGGAGGTGGCTTCTCTCAGGTCAGAACCGCGCGCTGACCGTTCAGCTTCAGGTGGAGCATGGGAGAGGCTTCAGAGGTGAGACGTAGCTAAATATATTCTAATAATTAATCAGGTTTACTTGTATAGCATATTTCAGCAACAAAGTTCAAAGTGCCTCAAATCATAAAAACACACAAAAAAATACAAAGTCATAAAAAACACCATACAGTCAACAATCGAGAAAACCAGAAACAAACATTACATTTTGTTGAGTGTCATCACCAAAATCATTGATATACATCAAATAAGTTGGTCAACATTCCATTTATTATGGTTCAAAAGCAAATTTAATCAGGTGGGTTTTTAGCCTCCATCTAAGGAAACTCAGTGTTTCGGCTGTTTTGCAGTTTTCTGGCAGTTTGTTCCAAATTTGTGGTGCACAGAAGCTGATGACTTCTGTCTTAACGACTCACTTCATTCATTGGCCTTTTGTGTTCCTCCGACCTCCAGGGGTCATGCTACACCACAGAGTACAGCTTTATCTTGTTAAATTGCGAATTAGAGAATCTGTACCTGCAGCTGACCGCCAATACATCAGCTTGCAATGAACTATGAGATAAAAACTGACTGCTGGGGCGCCTCACCCAACATCAGCAGGGATCAAGACGATAAGGGAACCAAATAATCCCCGACAGGCCCTCCTCAAAGTGCTGATGTGCCACAGCACTGGGCTTTTGCTGAGATTTGCTCCATCTATGTAGTTATTTATACCGCAGGCTGGGCCAGAGCGAAGCTGCACAGAGCGGAGGAGGGAAGAATTATGCACAAGCTGTCGCCACAGAAAAAAAATTCTACCGTGTGTTGAAGAAACTGCAGTTCAACGCCAATCAGAATGAGGGTCAGCGGCGGTAACGGACCCGAGCAGAAGGGCCCCTCCACCGTCCAGAATTCACTCCGGCAGCAGGAAAATTTGACGTATTCTCAGAATCTGTCAACAGGTGGTCGCAGATCACAAATCACCTCACGCTGTTCCCACACTGATAAGCTTCCACAGGGGGTCCGGTTCCCTGCTCCCCGTCACACAAACTGGAATCGCAACCCACCCGCCGGAAAAAGCGGAGCGACAGCCACAACACCGGATCACACCCAAACTGTCGCGCCACTGCAAACGAAGTGGAAACACTGAAACGTGAGGTAAACGGTGGCCGCTGCCAGCCTTGTCACTCGGTAGGAAACAATCTACTTATTCAGGCTGAGTGAAGTCTGGAAGTGGCCGCTTGCCGTTTCTGTAATCATGAGAAGAGAATGAGCGGCCCTGTGCCTCTCACTGTTTCTCCAAAGGTAAGAAGGACAGGAGTTATTTACCTTAGGCTTGCATGAACATTTCAAAGCTACAAAAAATATTAAGTGAAATCTTGTAGACTCGGCTGGACTGGAGACCAAAAGTGAAACATTTGTTACATTTTCAACTGCTGTGGTTTTACACTGCACCGTGTCAAACAAGCCAAAACATTTGAAAACCTGTTACTCCTTCCTGCCTGTGGGGGCGCTGCACCAAGAACTACTGAAGGAAACGACATAAAAACCTCTGACCTCCTTCTTCGTGAAATGTAGTGGCGTCAGATTTTAGCGGTTCTAGGCTTTCTCTTATCTTTCCTAAAAGACCACCAGCCATTAGGACTCTAGTCGCGTGTTTGTTTTGGTTGCATTTACCCAAAATGCCCTCCGGTATAGTCCACTTCCTATTTTTGGAGCGGTGTCCAGTCCCCTTGGTGTTCACATATGCATTTGAACTGCACCAGAGTTCACTTGAACCAAATAGAGAATAAGGTTTGTAGGTGGACCTGACTGATTTTTTGATCACATCTCCCCCAAGCGAACTGGACTTTGTAGGTAAACAAACCAGAGTTTGATTAAAGCGAACCAAACAGGGTATCAACGTCCTTCTCATTTGTTCTTCCAGCAACGTAGCCTTTAACATTTTAAACATGATTAGTTGTGTCTTATGAGGGCATTTAATGCCATGAGACTTGCATTCTATTAGCATGAAATGATGCAGCGAACACTAGCTAACAAATATTGCAGTCCAAATCAGCCTTTTGGATTTTAATACAGCACACAAATAAATGTATTTGTATTTGTGTGCTGGTTCCGCAGTGTATAACCCTGCGGAACCATGGAGTTCCGCGGGGTTATACTCTTGGCACCATTTCATTTGTGCTTTATTTGTTTTTATTACTTTTCACCGTCAGTGTATATTTAAAGATTTCAGCTCTGCAAGACTGCCTGATCAAATCCTGGTGGTCACATTGCTCCAGATGAATGTGTGCTCTGGCTAGCTTGGTTGCTCACACTGTTGAAATCTGGAATCACTTTCTACATTCCTTAAAGCCGCCACTGAAAAAAAAAACCTGGGTAACTGTTTAATAGTAATACATAATTTGGCCTGTTTGACAAATGTTATGTTCATTCTTGTTATTATCATTAAGCAAAACTTGGTAAAATTAGTGGAATTATATCTGCCTCCAAAGTTGAGGCAGATATTTTACTGAAAATGTTGCTGCTAAACTTTTGATTTCATCCTCCAAGTGCTCTACAGATCTCTCTGCAGTTGAAAACAGAACACAGTTTATGCTCATAGAGTTGACTTCTGATTTCAGCAAATTTTACTTTGGATTTATCTCTACAATCAATATAAATTTGTCCTCAAATATAAATTAATTCAATATTTAGAGTTTCAGTTGTGTTTCGAATAATAAGTTTTCTGGTGGTTGATTGATTTGCATGCAAAATACAAATTGAATCATCTGGTTAGTCAGAGAAACCCAGTAATTGGTTTCTGCCAATTACTGAATTGTCTGAGTTATGCATCAGACTGCAGTTATCTCTGGGATGGTCTAGTTAGTTTTACTACTAATAATTCATAAGACTGGTAATTCAAAAACTGAACAACTAACAATCGTATTTACTAAGATCAAACCTCGCTGTGCTGCTAGTAGTGCGCCGTTGTGATAAACATTAATTATTTTTTTCTGATTAAAATCAGACTAAATTATTTCTGCCTTTTTTAGTCATTTAGGAATTCCAATATCATTTGTTAAATGTAAGAATAATAATTTTGCTGTTTTTATAAAACAAACCTTACATACATTTGTTTAAAATAATTGTTACCTTTGCCTTTGATTTAGGTCAAACTTTATGAGAACCTTCACAAGTTTCTCATAACTCATGCCTTAACTTTGGCCTATTCCAAACATGATACTGCCACTCACACACTTCACTGTTCTCTTCACAAACTTAACATTTAATGACAGTGAGAAAAAAACCTTTGTCTTTTTATATTCAGCATAAAGAAGGTTTCATTTAAATCCTTTATTTAAAAAATTTGTCCAGCATTTTTTAATGCTAAAGCTAATATTTAAGACAGTATTATGCCACATCCTGACATGGTGAATGTTGCTCAAACTGAAGAAGAGCAGAGAAAAGAAAGAAAGACAACCAAATATCAGCTTTACGGTGATATGATGTCTTGAGACCTTTTGTATTTCCTGTTGTACATTTCATTCAGTGATACTTTTAAACAGCAGTTTAAAGCATCACCCATCACTGCAGTGGACATGAAAAACAGAGAAATGGATCTTCAATTAAACGTGTTAATTATCTATAATTGAAGTTAAAAGTAATGTCAAATGAAGCTCAAATTGCTCTGTGTCCATTACAGGAAAACTCAGCTGGTCTGAACATGGCGCCTTTATGCCCCTGGTTTCAATTTGTCGACATTTTAAGTGATTCCATTACAGATGTATGATAAAAATGAGTTTGTTCATTTAGATTTGCGGTTTTTGATGTGATTGTTGGTTGTTTCTTAGTTTTCACTTCTGAAGAAATTACTTCTGACTGTTTTAAAAAGTCATAAAATCTAATCGCCTTCTGGTTTATTCTTATTGAACCGTTTCTGCCCCACCGTGTGAACACACTCGTTAAATTGGATGAATCCACGTGTTTATTAATTTTTAAGGCTTAGGCTGTGAATGGGGAGCGTCTCTCTGCGCACGCGCTGCTCGTTCATGTGGAAATGACGCGAGATGTGTGCGCGCGCTTCTAAGTTAAGATGTACCGTAATATAGCAGAAATTAATATTAACTCACCAAAACAGCCAAACTGAAACGAGAGTCGTGTTTCTTTTACATGACTTTTTCAGTTTTATTTAAATGACATAAAACATAATTAATAGTAGAGTAATAGTAAAGATTTTAAATAAAAATGTGTATTTATGTTAAAAGAATCTGAGCTAGGGTCAGCATAATGCCGACATTGTGCTCTAATCAGTCGTGAAACTCAACTTACCAGTCGGCTCTCACTTGGGCACTGATGGAGGTGTTTTTAAAGCGCCTTCAACCCCTGAAGCCAGAAGCCGAGCCGGAGAGCATCGCCGGTGTCTCACATCCACCGTCAGTCGGTCAGACCGGACTCACCGCCGGCGAGGTGGCGACAACAAGCTGAAACACACGCCAACATCACGGGAAAGTCAGCGGAGAGGGGAGCCATCGGTACATCCGCCAGGTCCTGTCCGCTGTCTGAGGGAGACAGAGTACGGAGCAGCGCTGCCTCCGGTATGACGGGTGATCAGTGCCACTCGCAGGGGGCGGAGGAAAAGGAGGAGCACGCTGCCTCGATGATTTGACGCTTTTCTAATGTACAAGGAGGAGATGAAAGTTAAGTTAAAATGGTATTGATTTTGACAACAAATGTTAACTTATTTTTTAAATAAATGCTATTTTAGGGAAAATCTAACAATCTTTAGTTTTAGTCAGAAGATAGTACATTTTAGTCGACAAAATTTATCATGTAATAGAATAGAACATGTGGAGTAGTGGGTTTATTCCACAAAATGCTGTCAGAATTCTGTTTGAAAGTGCAAAATATTTATGATATTTTATAGTTTGCTGCCATTTTCCACCATTTTTTTAAACTTATAGGTGACAATGGAGCCTATAGTTGTTCAACATGAACATAAATAATGGCTGAATGAACAAATTTTACTGTCAACCAATCAAACCCTGCAATAGTTTTCTCTTGCCTTTTTACACTTACCACCTTGTTATGTCTTTCAGTAAAATTAAATATCACTTGATTTCATCTGCCTTTTAAAATTTGGTTTATTTTTTATTTATTGACAGAAGTATTTTCATCACAGTTATCATTCATCGAAGTTTCTTGTCATCAAAACCTGCTTAAAAAGTTAGAGAAGATAAAGAAAAGGAAAGTTTGTTGATGTTTTCCTTTACTTTTCATTACCATATTTTTCTCCTTTGTCCTCCTCTGTCTTTTTTCTTCTCCAAATCCTGCAGCCAATCAGATTCATGAGTAGAGTTACCCCCCTTCCCCCATTGACAAATACGCCAAATAAACACTGAGAGGGAGTCCTATTTTCTTGAGAATGCATACAGATGGATGGAAGGAGCATATTTTACCGCTCACTGTGTTCATGGGCCTGTGAATAAATTGAAATACCGGCGATCAGAGCTATGCTCTCTCTCGATTAATATATTCCCTGTTGTGATTGCTTAATACGCTCCTCAGGAATTTTGGCATGAATGTGAGTCACCATAGAACTGCACTGATTTGAATTAGCATAAAATTGAACCTGCTTGCCTTGAAAGCAGGTTATATATATATAATTTTTAAAACAACTGAAAGTAACAAATTTACTTGATGTAGAAAATACATTGAAATACATAATACTCCTCCTTTACTATACTTCTCCTTTAATAGATTTGCTCCTAAAACACAATAGTTAATTTGGGAAGACTGATTAAAATGAGGCAGAACTTCAGATACAGTTACTATCATATAGTCTGTAACCTGTGGAATAAAATATTCATTGTATAAGAAGGAGGAATCTTTCCTCCTCCTTTGACCTTGTAGTGCACAGTTGTTCTATACAGGAACAACATCTAATATCTTTACACAAATCTGTTTGTTTCAATATCTCCAGAGATCTGTGAGCTCAAGTTACAGGTCCTGAACTCTGACGCCCTGTGCACTAGCTACTGCAGTTCAGGCAATGTGTATATGCAGCAACTCCACACACATTACCAATTTAAATGTTGCCTTGGCGTAGCGGGCTTCAGGCAGCTAGAGAAAACAAATAAACCGACAGTTCTTTCAGGTCCGTTATTTCAAATCTCATTATTGACGCCCTTAGAGAAACAGCCAGAACTCCGAGACCTTCAGGATCGCAGCTGCATCTCTCTGTGCGAGGCCCATAGTGAATACATCCATGTGCAGAGCCATAATTAGACATGCCTTCCAAACTCAATCCCATTTCAAAGAGCTCCTGGGGGAGATATTACGCACCCCGTAAACTTATGGCCCCTGCCTCAGTCATCGCTAATTACATTCCCAGTTCAATCATGTGGAAACAAACAGCAGTAGTACCAACCAAAGCAGTGACAAAAGAAAAACAGTTTGAGGGTGACTTTTTTTTTTCTTTTCTTTTGGTTTTCTTTTTTTTTTCTTTGCATTTTAGGGATGATCCAACCTGTCTGAGAGATTTCTGAAACTGTATCTGAGTGTAACTTTTTCATCCAGGGGCAAGATAATGGAAAACGGGGAAACTGCATTAGTGTAGTAACAAGGTAATGGGGAAAAAATGTTTGGAGGTGTGGAGAAGGAGAACCAGCTCTGTGCCGAAATGTCAGATGAGTCAGAGGCATTCTGGGAAGAGCATCTGCCATGGAGGCTGAAAATTTACAATGACACCATCACCCGTAATAACAAGCACCTGCAGCCGCTCGGTGAAGGAGCTGTCTGCTCTGAATCAGTGGGGGATGTAACACTGATTAACCCTGAGCGCCTGTAACACCAGATAACTGATGGGCTGCCACAGGGATTTAACTGTAAAATTCTGCGTAGATCCCTGCAACAGCCAAACATAGACACTTGATAACCTGCTCAATTGTGGCGACTCATTTAACTTTCTGGAGCCCCAAAACCCCTGAATTGTGAGACAGTACTGACAGCAAGCACCCTTCATACGTAGCAAAGTTTTCAACTAGCATCTTTACAACCAAAACTTTAAGCAGATGTTAAATGCAGAAGTGCATTTGGGATTAACCCCTCTGAGTCTTAGTGGTCCAGTAGTTTCTACGGGTCATTGGACATAGCTGACTCCAGGCTGATTCTGGAACAGTATTTTCTCTAGTTGGTGGCAGGTTTGTTTGTTTCTGGCAGCCAGTGGGAGACAAGGTACCTGCTGTGCTGTTACCCTTTTTAGAAGAAGGGTGTCGTTTTCATTTGGGCAGCTCATCAACACAGTTTTCTATTGGACTTTGGTTGCTGAATTGGTTGAACTAAGCATTTATTAGTAAGCTTGATTTACTCCCCTAACTCCCAGGCTTCATTTTCATCTTTTTGTTTCTAGACATTTTTCACTGTTATGCCCTCTTCGTCTATACAGCATGACTACATTACTTCAGAGAATGTAAGTATTTGGGGTCTTGTCCTGGATCAAACATAGGTGAGCTTGTCTTCCCAATTCATACCTGGAAAAAATTACCCTTCCCATATCCTACACAGTATCAGGAAATGTAACATTTTGTGGGTTTAACTGTGCAGCTAGTTGTTGAAAATGCTACAGTAGCTGCACCAAGAACCACTGAAGGAAACAACATAGCAACTAGTTTGATTAAATATAATGCTTAAATTGTTGACTGTGCGTTGTATGACTTTGTATTTTTGTATTTTCAAGGCACTTAAAAGCTGCCTTGTTGCTGAAATGTGCTATACAAATAAACTAGATTAATAAAAACCTATGACTTTCATCTTTACAAAATGTAAACAGAATGAGTGAATGAATTGTAGCAGTTAAAACAATTTGGGGGCTCGTCTAGGATCTAATGAAAAAGTTTAGCTTGGGTTTTGTGGTGGTTTTAGATACGTTTTCACAGCTTCTTTCCTTAGCTAAAATTAGCTTTTTGACATGTTAGTATAGAAGGCTATAGTCATAGAGAAGGCAGAATGTATCCTCATTCTTTCATTTTGACTGACCCAACCCTTTTCTTTTGCTTCACATAGCAACGGTAACCTGACAAAATTGATGGCAGGTTAACAGCCATAAGTTGCTTGCAGTGGTAGTGATCATCACTGTATCAGTGTCTTCAGCTTACCAGAATAATTATCACTGAGAAAGCTAACCAAATTGTGGATGAGATGATCCCTGCTGGCTTGTAACACTAGAGATGTTTATTTTTGTCTGTGCTGATGTGTTTGAGTATGTGTGTATATGTGAGAGTGATGGTAAGATGAGGGGAATGGAAAGTGTTTTTTGTGGTCAGCGGAGATTGAAATGCAGGAGTGTGTGTGTGTGTGTGTGTGTGTGTGTGTGTGTGTGTGTATGTGTGTGTGTGTGTGTAGGTCTAAATAAAGTTGTTGCTGATCCCACAGGCGCCCCCCCTCATTGCTCCAGCTGTGATGGTGGTGAAACAGACATGGGATCTAAATGCTCACTGTGGCGACATGCAA